GTGATTTTATATTGCTTTTGATATCATTTTGATTAAGTGGCAATAATCCTAGTTGGAATATTTTACAGAAAAACAAAATACAAGATTCTCTTGTGCCAATGAAAGAGCTGACAACATGTAAAATTTTATACAGAAAACAAAACTCAAGAATCTATTTAAGTTTGAACTTCCACTGCACGCATATACTATTACCTTGTCACTACATGTAGGCTTTCATAAAAGAGTGAATGTGAAATAGAAGATGAATACAACAATATAGAACATACAAAATTTCAAACATGTCAGCTGGCTCCAGAGGGCACTATACACCACAGTGAAGCCTGAATTTTTATTTAGTAAAACAAAAATTAATTAAAATCCAGATACCCTGGAGAGGGAGTTCTTGGGAGCAAAATGTAATGAATATGTTATAATATTTTCGGTAATGTAAGCATTTTGAAGTAAATCAGCACAAATTTGGTAACCAATTTTGAAAAAGGAGGTTCCAATTTTACCCCATATGTTCTGGTGAAGAAAAATCCCATTGCCCTATCATTAAACAATGTGAAGCTAGAAAACAGAATTATTTGAATTGACAACCTGAATATGTGTCTTGGGGTGCTTTTTAAACAATAATACAATAATCAGTAAAGATAAACGGAAAAACTCAATATAGCAATATACACCCCTAAAAGTGTATATTGATTTGCAAATTCTACCCCAAAATGTACAAATTGTATAACATGTTCTGGACAAAATAGTTTCTTAACTGTTTGTCAAAGATGTGGACTAGTATGAACATTGTTGCTGACTCCCCTCTGAGCTAGGACTGTCAAATAAAGTAGCTGAAAATGTGCATACTTATACAAGACAACAGCAAGCAATACAAACACAGAGTAATGCACAACAACATTCAACATAAATGTAGACACAACACAAGTACAATTTATATCATAGGTTTTCTAATGTGTCATCATGTAATATTGGATTGTCACTATCTAGAGGAAGATATGAAAGTTTAACAAAAATTTAATGATAAATGATTCCATGACTGCTTCTATTTCATTTGCATAAAGGAAAGCAATTTCTTGCACATAATTTACAATAATTCGATCCAAGCAAATAGCAACTGAGAATCAATGCAATCAACTGCAATGTTGTGGTTGAGAGATTTATTTGATAACTAGATGATTTATCTGAACATGGGAGATGCATGATCTGTGTGTGTGTGTATGTATTATTGAGTGAGTGTCTATACAACTGGGTGATTGGTTGATATCAATAAATGGAAACTTACTAAACTCATCATAGTGTTCTTCTTCATTTGTTTACCCCTTGGAGTGTTTTTCAATCTATCTGCCCACCTTGTGATGTCCCATAAGACTACTTGGCCATTAATACAGCCACCGGCTACGATGTTAGGATCCACCGGGTTAAACTTAAAACAGAATATATCATCAGGTGCTTCCAGTAGTAGCTGAAATAAAGCAACATCGGTGTCAGTCAGATGTTGATTCAGATATAGTGGGTCTGTGGGTGTATGGGGCTTCTAAAAGTCATATGTGAGTGTATGGGGTCAGTAAAACTCACCTTTGAGTGTATGGGGTCAGTAAAACTCACCTGTGAGTGTATGGGGTCAGAAAAACTCACCTGTGAGTATATGGGGTCAGTAAAACTCACCTGTGAGTGTATGGGGTCAGTAAAACTCACCTGTGCATGTATAGAAGTCAGTAAAACTCACCTGTGGGTGTATGCGATCTGTAAAACACCTGTGAGTATATGGGGTCGGTAAAACTCACCTGTGGGTGTATGGGGTCTGTAAAACACCTGTGAGTGTATGTGGTTGGTAAAACTCACCTGTGAGTGTATGGGGTGATTAAAACTCACATGTGAGTGTATGGGGTCAGTAAAACTCACCTATGAGTGTATGGGGTCAGTAAAACTCACCTATGAGTGTATGGGGTCTGTAAAACACGCCTGTGAGTATATGAGGTCAGTAAAACTCACATGTAGGTGTATGGGGTCAGTAAAACTCACCTGTGAAAGTATGAGGTCTGTAAAACACCTGTGAGTGTATGGGGGTCTGTAAAACA